TTTTTTCCCCCTGCATCTTTCAATTATTTAAAAGGGTTGTAAGCTGGTTCTCTACTGTTCCAGTATTCCCTTGCAGGTGTGTTTTTGTGCAGGGTTTTTCTTCTATTATTATTGTTCTTCTGTCTCCAGCTCTAAAATACAGCAAAAGGAACACAAATGAGACACATTAGTTTCATGAGAGCCATATTCATGTCCCTTAAGAGCTATAATTTGAGCACTACTGCCTTAGAACATCGTTTTCTGAGGCCATAAGTTTTCTGCATGCTGTTAGAAGACCAGAGTATGCATTAATCAGTGTTCTGTTGCTGTTTGGGTGGTGGTTTTTTTTTTTTTTGTTTGTTTTGTTTTGTTTTTTTTTGGTACAGAATCCAATTCTTGAAATAGAAATGCTTGACCTAGAAATAGAAACAGACAGAAACAAAAATGGTTACAGTTATTTAATACTTTTTCAATTTTCAGTTAACTAACATGTTTTACATCAAGGAAGGACTTAATTGTTAACTTCTATAATTCTATAAATGTTATAACTTCTATAAATGTTAACTTCTATAATTGGCTGGGGGGTTTTCTTTCCAAAGTAGGTATAAAATTCACCAAAAGGGAGAAATTTATTTTGGTTACACTGCACATAAAGTGTCAGCACAAGGACTTGTTCATGATGGCATTTTTTTTCTAGTTTTACAAAATAACTTAATGTAAAGCAATGTCTTGGTGATTTTGAAAGCCAGATGTGGCATATGAATTAAGGCTAATGTCCTTTTAAAATCATTGCCTTATTTCACTGAGAATAGCTGGTATTGTGACTTTGACAGATGATTTTAAAAAGAGAAAAGTGTTAAGTTGTATTTAACTATTTGTATTTTGTCTAACTTAAATTTGTATACCTTGAAAGTGTATACATGACAGATAAAATATAGATATATAAATAAGCAAAGATCATCTGCTTTTCAAAGAGAAAATCTAATTTAATATATGGGCATAAAATCAGCATCCATCTAGCCTAGTAATGACCAGGTAACAGTAGGTAAGTGACTTTTGGTAGGGAGAAAACCAGAGATATCAGCCTGAGTTTATGTGATAAATGTGGCCATCTGTAGATTATGCCAACAAGCTTAGTTAGGAAGTAATAATTCAAGAAAGTAGTGGCCCTTTGGTGGAACATCTCCCCACGTGGCTGACCCTCTGAGGATTCCTAAAATTGGAGTGGAACCAGCACACAGAGGGCTAGCTGCCATCTGGGCCATGGCCCCCTTGCCCAGCTAGAGTGACCACCCCCCTTGTGGGTCAGAAGATCATTCTTTTGGCTTCTTCTTCCATAAATATCTAGGTCGATGCCTACCCATTGACACAGAATATATGTTGGAGGGGAGAAGATGTGTGCCACCTGCCAAGCACCTTTCTGGGGCCTGGGCATGCATCCTTGAGGAATTCCCCAAGAGGACCCACTCTGGGTGGCAGGTTGGATGACAGGCAGGGATGATGATGCTGGAAGGGACATTTGTCACTTTAGAGAGGAAAAGGACATTGTAGGAACATGTGTTGTACCTGGCATGGACATGTGTGGTGAGTAGGAGGAAAGAGTGGCTGGGAAAGGCCACTGTTGGGTAGTGGTGGTCAGAGTAACATAAGCAAGCCCCAAATGCCTTGGGGCTTGTCTTTCACAGTCAGTCCCTCTCTGCCTCACAATGTCCTCTTTCACTTTCAGCCTCTGCCCCAGCACTGGGGCTTTGTGTTTCATGGCAGGCAGAACTGTGATGGATAGTGAGCCTCCCCAAACTCCCTGCTCCAGCAGTGCCACGTGAGGGATCAGGACCATGGGGAGATTACATGAAGAGCCTGTCTCTGCCAGCATAGATTCCCACCATAGTTTGTAGCCATATTTATAGTTTTCTAAATTTCTATGAAAGTAATTTTTTTCTTTTTTTAACTGATATTTCAGTAGTTACATGACCTAAATCTCTTCACACCTGTGGAAAAAAAAAAATTAAATATGGCACATAAATGGTGCTATGATATTATTTCTTTGAATGTTGCAACAATACCCATCTTCTCTGTTTTCTGATTCATGGGATTTATGTTTAGGTTTTTTTGTTTGGTTGGTTGGTTTGGTGGGGTTTTTTTGTGTTGTTGTTTTTTTTTTTTTTTGTTTTTTTTTTTTTTTTTTTTTTTTTTTTTTTTTTTTTAGGGGGACGTATTTGCTTTTTCTCTGGTGCGGGATCATGAATACTACAAATTCTTTAGTTGCACAGATATGCATAGAGAAAGATAGGTTCATATAAAACTAATTCTGAATTGCATAGGCTCCAAAAAATGAAGTGGAAAGAATGGAAAAAATTTACTAAATTTAAATGGCTACATCCACACTCAATTTACATGAGACATTCATAAATATCAACCGAACCTCTTGATTATTAATTATTTTTAAAATTTGATAACATGCAATTTGTAAGCAGAACTTTCAAGCTAGTAGAGTGTACAAGTTAGATGTATTTTCTTGCTTTTCTTCTGCTGCATCTTTCCCACTCTCTTGTGGGTATTCCATTTATCAGCTCACTCTTGCTCTGTTCAACTATCATCACACATAACTTGACCTGCAGAAATGCTGTCAGAGTTTTTCTTCAAACATTTGTTTCAAATTTTAATTATGTTTTTTACTGTAAACTGGGATTATTCATTACATGAATATTTGATAAAGTTGGAAGAGGAATATTCTTCCAGGTAGTAAAAATTTGAAGGAGTTTTATTAAATATTTCTATAGAACAACATTTCATTTATTAACATGAATGTTTACATGACACATCTGCTTTTGTCTTATTTTTACAACAAGAGATGGAACCTTGAAATGCTTCTCAACATTCCTCACAATCCCACTGTCACCTTCTTTCCATTAACTGAGCAATTCAAAAGAGCAAAAAGTTAAATTTAATTAATTACTTACCACATTTTCATCCAAAGCTCTTATCCACCCATTGATTAGCACTGTTTAAATTTTGCTTTAAGGATGATTCCTTAACTAGCTACTATTTATAGGGAAAAAGGAATGCTGGAAACATCCCTGCTCCAGAGTTCTC